AGATGATTGCAACTCTCATCCTCTCACCAAAAACACTTTCTGGGCCCCAAACAAACAGCCCTCTGCTTCCTGTGCTCACCCCCGATGGCACCTCAGGAGGAGACCCATCTCTGGGCACACACCGTGCTTGGGATGGAGTAACTGCAGGGCACTAATTTTCTTCTTCGCAAGGAAGACAACACAGTCCTAATCACATCACAGCGTAAATCTGCAGTGTTTGCTTATCCCCATGAAAGCACAGGTTTTACCGCGGCAACTCCACCGCACAGAGAGGTGAAGCTTCTTCATCCCTCACCTTTTGCCATGAGGTTTGCAATAATGCATTTGGATAGCCCGACGGCAGGGCAAAACACCTGCATCACCTGCAACCTGTCTCTCCCACTTCGGGAGACACATCCAGACACCACAACATGCCGGCTGCAATTTCCTGCAAAAACACAATCTGCAAAAGCTGAGAGAAGCGGTACGATTGTGCCAGGAGGAAAGGGCTGCCTCAGCCGCAATCAGAGCCACGAGCAGCACCGCTGTAACACACACTGACCTAGGGAGTATATTTAGACTTGCTGGGTGAAGTCACACTCCTCCAGCAGCCTCCCGCCCAGCTAATTTTATCCCTCTGGGACATTCTGCCACAGACTTGCGTGGTGTGTCCCCTCTTACTGCACTAAAAGCTGCGCAAAGACGCACACTAAGAAAACACTATCACCACGGGCTCAACAGAACATGGTCCCAGTGGACCCTTCCGGGGTAGGTAGCTTCTGCTTTGCCAAGAAAAGAGAGAAAACTAAGCTAAAAGCTCACTTGTATTTTACAAAATAATGTTACTCTCCAATATGCTTTCCACCAGAATCCCAACTGGAAAGGGAGGCAGTATCATGCAGCTGGTGATTGCCCACGCAGCGCTTCGCCAAGAGGGAGCTGGAACGGTTACGTCTGAGGAAGGTTGGGGCAAGAGCTATTGCAGAAATACAACCCCCTGGAATCCGCACGTCTGCAATTTGCTCTGATCTGCAACTCTGCTGTTTTTTTAGGGAAGTGTCTGCATATCCATGCAGATACACAGCACTCAGCAATGTCCACCCGCCTCGTAATTATAATGCATGACGAAGGTCAACAAGGGAGCCAGACCACAAGTGAGCACCGCTTTTATGCCTGGACATCAGCGCAGGGTAACCACACAACATCTTCTGCTTCGTTTTGCAAGCATGAATCACTGAGCAGCTGCTTCGGTTGGCATCTCCTCCCGACGGCACAAGCACCTCTTCCAGGAGACAACCCGCAATCGCTGCAGAGCGCGCTCGTTCCCAGCGCAGCTGCGGGATGGAAGCAAACGCAGGCAATTAAGGATGAATGAGCGTGGAGACTTCATGCTGCGGCATGGCCCTTTCCAAGCAGAAAAACAAGGCAGGCAGGGAGGTGCCACCCGCTTCCTCTGCTCTGCTGAGCTCCCCGGGGTCCTGGCCGCTCGCACAGGAAACGCTCCTTTGCTCTCAGATCCAGCATGCTGGTTAGGAACGATACATTAAAAAGGGAATTTATACACATCTCTATTCCCCCAGAGGTCTCGCATAGCAGATATCCACACTGGCTTTTGTTCCGGACTAGCCTTCATTTACCAAAGAGGAAAAGAGCATTATTAAAAGGCACACAGCCACAATTCTCCATGATCTTCATAAATCAGTAAGTTCTTCTGTACACTCACTTTCAAAAGCCAAACAGTTTTCTTTAGGCTTTGTTTTAGTGTCACAGCAATGTCTACAGAGCATTTCAAGGAGCCAGAACAAACACCTCTACCGGGAGGAGAGGCTTTGCCTGGACAGATTGGAGTATAACGTAAAGATCATGAAACAACAGAGGAACGGTGTGAAAAGAACACTGAAAATACCTTTGGAGCCCCATCCTCAATTCAAACAGTTAACGCCTAAATATCTTGGGGTGTTTGCAAATACTTGCTTAGGATGAGGAAAACATCAGAATCAAAATAAACTGGACTGCAGATGCCACCTTTCCGCTATGCTGGAATCCCCAGCAACAGCCACACGGACATGTCTTCTCCCAGCTGCACCCGATGTGACAGACGCGCTGCTGGATGGGGCCTGCAATGGGATTTAGGTGCAAAGACATCTCTTGACCCACAGAAACTAAGGAAAGCAAGAACAGACTCTAATCTACATCCTCAGTATTAGCAAAGTCTCTCTAAATTCACACCATCTGCTCCAAGTCGTGAGCTACACCACCCCCTGCCTCTTTTGGCAGGGGAAGGGAAGTCACACTAAGTGAAAGCAGTAGCCTTAAAGCATCACAGTGAATGAAATACAGTCTTAAAAGTCAGTCTTGCGAAAGGTAGAGGGGAAATAAATAATGCAGAGAATGACTTCTCTTGGCCCAGCCCTAAGGGGAGATTTTTACCTTCTATCACATACTGCTCGTTTTCCCTGAAGTGCTTTTCTCAAACTGTTATGCACTCTCCTTGCTACCCAAATACTGCAGTCTTCTTATTTGAATGGCAAGTATGAAGGCAATCTTTTTTTTCCCCAATATATACAGTATTTTGACTGCAATGCACTAAGAAAACTGTATTCAGTAAGTGAAAACAACACATAAAAACATGAAAAAAAACCACATAATAAATTCTACTGACAGGGACATCTTTCCCCAAACTGACAGCCGTAACTGACAAAACAGAAAAGCAGAGTTTCTGAGACCGGGGGAGTAGGTGGCCGCACAGCGATTTTTTAAAGGATCTTCTTAAACTTGCAGTTGATGGATCAAAGGGCAACAATGTTTTCAAACACAACCAACCTTCCAAATCCCTAATCCAACCAGAGACTCAGTTTTACATCCAAGTTAGAAAGGAGGGCAAACAAAGGAACGGACAGACGCCAGATGCAGCACAACTCGGCTTAGCTATCAAAGCAGCAGTAAAACCATCTAGGACCAACCTGGTTTATGCTTTTGCTTGCCAAGACCTGAATAACAGCACAGTCTTGAAATTTCAGTTTGGGGAACTATTTCTTAAACGAACAGGGGCCTCCTTAGGTAACATCACCTAATGACAAAAAAATCACCTGGAGATTTGTGAAGAGCCTTCTCTGTCTACAAACAGGCTATTTCATCTATTTCCTCCTGCATCTCTAGTCCTGCTGATCAGTTCTCCATCTCGAGAAATAACTCTGCCACACGCACGCCAACAAACGGAAACTATGTGAATATGCACACCGTAATCTGTCACGTATCCAAGGGAGCGTTTTGCCAAGAGACTGTGATATTAACATATCCACGTTTATACCACTATGGAAAAGAAAAATGACTTTGAGGATATTCGGGTCCAGACATCACCGCAGCTCCCACGAGCTGGAATTCCTTTCCAGTCATGGGGCTGAGAGCACAAGCAGGGTTAGGGCAGGGGCTGGCGTTGAGCTGCAGGACTTGGCCACCACGCTGTACCAAGCGGAGGAGGGCGCATCCTGCAAAGCTGGAGGAGACGGGATCCCAATGGATCAGGCGACAATTTCTTCATATTTGCATGTCACCAAGGACTCCAGATTTTATGTGAAATCCCATGTTTTGGGAGGCGGGACAGGGTTGAAGATGGAACATGTCGGTCTCCAAAGGGAAGGACTCCTCGTAGGCCGAGGGCCGCCTGTTCTCCTCTGCCAGGGCTGCCACAAAGCTAACAGAGCTGTGTAAGGGCAGGGACAAAGTCATCGCAGCTACTGCTCACCCGTGCTCACCTGCAACGTGACGAGAGCTGACAAACCACGGAGAACAGGTCCCCGCGCCACCCCGCGCCGTTGAAGCCAGTGCCTCACACCTGCAAACAGCTGTGCAACAGCCTGCACCCGCCCGCAGCAGGCGGCCTCGCGGACCCCGCGCCACGGCTACGAGAAGCGCCGAGCACAACAAGGCGGGGCGCGGCGGAGGAGCACGAACCGACCGCGGGACGCTCAGCACCAGGCACCCGCCAGGAGCTGCAGCACCGTCCC